GGCAGATAGTTAGATAAATTGATTGATAGATAGATAGATAGTTAGATAAATAGATTGATAGCCAGATAGATAGTTAGATAAATAGATTGATAGACAGTTATTTTTTACTGTGTTTGTAATATTTGTGTTTACAATATTTGAAGCCATCATGCCATGTCTAATTTGAAATATAAAATGCCTAAACATGCTTACACTTCACTGCTTTGAATTCTTGCATGATTACTTAAGCCCGCATGGTTTATATGTCCATTACCGGTAAGAGGTACTTCCATGTCAATAAAAATAAAGTTTTCAAAATATTTTTATTTGTCTTTCAATCTTTAGAGGTTTTAGAACAAACTGTAATCAAAATTACCTGATATTTTTCATTAAAAATTTTAAGTTATAGTCACTTTGTTGAAATACCCTTTTTGAGAGGGTGGGAGGGAGGATATTTTGTTTGTTTGTCTGCTTGGGGTGTGTTTGTTAGTTTGTGATATTTGGTAGTTAAAGTTAAACAAAAGAGTAATCCTGGGTTCAATAATGTAAAAACTTTCATAAGAATACACTTGTAAACTACTAAACAGCTTGGTGGTTATACTCCTTAAAGGAACTGTAGACGTTATTTGAAGTGACCTTTCAGTTACAGAGTGGCATGTCAAATTCAGATAGAGATATCCAGGCTTTTCTCACTTAAAATTTATAATTTTCAATTGGGGTTTCTTTTTTAAAAGTGACTAACAGATTTATGCTACAGAAACACTGAAGGAAATGGTTGGAATCAGACAATGATCAGATAAAGGGTTGAAGGTATGCCTCTCTTTAAATTTACGCCGGGTCGCTTGAAATTAAGTCCACAGTCCCTTTAAAGGAGGTTTAGTGCCCCCCCCCCTTCTTCTTTGTACTCTATACTCATGATGGTAATATTGGTTTTGCTCCTAACCAATTATCTACCATAATATTTGATAACAAGGTTTGGTTCAAATTGATTTTTTTGGTGGATTTTTAGTATTTCTGAGAACATTAACACCAAAAATCCTCCAGTAAACCCTAAATTACTGATATTTGACTGGGCATTACCTGAAAACTGAGTCAGGAGCTAAAAACTTCCAAAGTTTTCGGAACAAAAAGTCCTTCAGTAATGTATAATTGAGGAAAAAGTAAATTGTAAAATGAGCATGAACTTTTGTGTCTAGACTCGACTCATAGAGCCATAGAAGTCATTAAGAGTAGGAAAAGCATATATAAACCATAGAGTGACAAAGAGACATATATTGTAGGTGTAATGTTTATAAATCATAGAGATGACATAGAGACATAGGAGTTATAAGAGGAGGTAAAATATAAATCATTGAGTGACAAAGAGACATATATTTTGGATGAGTAGGTGTAACTTATATAAATCATAGAGGTAACATAGATCGACATAAGAGTTATAAGAGTAGGTAAAATTTATATAAATCATAGAGATGACATAGAGACATAGAAGTTATAAGAGTAGGTGTAATGTATATAAATCAAAGAGGTAGCAAAAAGACATAGGAGTTATAAGAGTAGGTGTAATGTATATAAATCATAGAGATGACATAGAGACAGAGGAGTTATAAGAGGAGGTAAAATATAAATAAATCATAGTGGTGATATAGGGACATAGGAGTGGAAAGAGTAGGTGAAATAAATAAAAATCATAGAGGCATTAGATTTGGAGTTGTTGGTAAAATACATATAAATCATTGAGATGCCATAGAAACATAGGAGGTGGAGAAATAGGTTAAATATATATAAATCATAGAGGCAACATAGAGACATAGAAGTTATAAGAGTAGGTGTAATATATAAATCATAGAGATAACATAGAGACATGAGAGTTGTAGAGGTAGGTTTAATATATAGAGGTGCCATAGAGACATAGGAGTTATAAGAGTAGATGAAATTTATATGAATCATAGAGATGACATAGAGACATAGAAGTTATAAGAGTAGGTGTAATGTATATAAATCAAAGAGGTAGCAAAAAGACATAGGAGTTATAAGAGTAGGTGTAATGTATATAAATCAAAGAGGTAGCAAAAAGATATAGTAGTTGTATGAGTAGGTGAAATGTATATAGATCATATAGTGGTAACATAGAAATAGGAGTTGGAGAAGTAGGTGAAACATATAAAGATCATAGAGGTAACATAGAGACATAAAAATTGAATGTGTAGGTAAAATATGTATAAATCATAGAGATGACATAGAGTCATAGGAGTTGTAAGGTTAGGTTAAATGTATAAATTAAATTACTTTATATATTATAATTATAATTATAATTATAATTATAATTTACTAATAGAGACATAGGAGTTGAAAGAGTAGGTGCAATATATAATTCATATATCATAGAGGTGACATAAAGATACAGGAGTTGTAAGATATTTAAAAAATATGTAAATCAATGAGATGACAGAGAGAAATAGAAGTCGAACAAAACTGAAGATAGAAGCGGGTGCGATACAAACAAACGATACAAACATATATATATATATATATATATATATATGTGTATACGGAAATCACGTATTTATTAAGCAGCATTGTAACTTCCTTTAAGGGCAAAGTTTATGCTTAGGGTGAACATTACTTGTTAAAAGTTTAAACTTTATACTTCACAATAATTAAACTTTTAGCATTATAGAAGTACTCTTAGGCACGATACAACGAATACATGGCATTGGGATTTAGATTTATTCTGTATTATCTGTATCATAAAACAAGACTTTCGTATGTATATATATATATATATATATGTTGCCAAACTGCTGGACCGAATGCGCTGAAATTCTGTGTGGACACTCAGAAGTTGCCGGGGGGTGTTATAGGCTAAAAAAATAGAATTTTTTTTTCAAAATTTTTTTATTTTTTTATTTTTTCTAATTTTTTTTCCGCGGGCAACGCCGAGCCCTTTAACTAGTGCTTAATAACAGCTTTGGAATTCTATAAATAAAATTTTTCAAATTAAAAAAAAGAAGAATTCAGTTAATGCAATACAAAAAATAATTTATGATAAGTTAATAATTCGTAGCATTCGTTTCAGAATAATGTATTTCTATATATAAAAAACTTAGCTTTCTTATGTTCTCTTAGGTATAATGTGTTAGTTTATGTATTTAAGCGTAGAAAGTTCATTATAGTAAACATCAATTCTGAAGGTGCTTTATTATGATATGTAATATAGTTTATATGCACGCATCCGGCATTCAAATTAACTCCATCACTTACAACACATAGGACTTTCAGAATAAGAAGAAAGCAGTTAGAACACACCAGGAAAAATTAGAAGTTTAAGTAAAGGGAGAAGGAAAAAGGAAGGCATTAAAAACACTGCAAACTATAACATGCATGCATGCTCTTGCACACAAAAATCGCGCGACTAGTATTATGCAAATTACTCCTTTATAAACTTAAGCTTAAGCGCGTTGCATTCTTAGAACGTTTATGTCTAGAGCTAATAAAGTATGTTGTTGAGGTAAAACCAAAGGCCAAGGCGAATAGCAAAATTTTAAAGTAGAAGCCGTCTTAAAAGTAATTGAATCTTTGCAACTAGCTTAAAATTTAATATTACTTTTTCTCTGCAACCTGATGGTGTAAACCTTTAATATTTCAAACTTAGACTATTTGATCTAACAGCATTTAAAGTTTGAAATATCGATAGTCTACGACATTGGATCGTAAAAATATTGGGGTTAGAAAATCAGCGTTTGCGGCAGGAAGTTTCTTTAGTGACTAAGTTTCAGATTAGTCTAGATCTCAGTTGAGAGATTTATAAATACTTTGTAAAAAGGGAGAAGGAAAAATGGAAGGAAGATTTGAATGGGGGTNCTAACTTGAACACATATTCCAACCATGCAAAGGAATTGTCAGATCCGCAATCTACTAACTTGAACACATATTCCAACCATGCAAAGGAATTGTCAGATCCGCAATCTACTAACTTGAACCCATATTCCAACCATGCACAGGAATTGTCACTTGATGCCACAAACTTTAATTTCTGATCCCTATCATTGCAACCTGATAGCGTTACCTTTGATATTTTCAAACAATTAATATTTGCTCTATAGAATTCCAAATTCAAAGTAGAAAGAATTAAAATCTGAATTTGTGGCGAGTATTCAGATACTTATTCCTTTATTTTATATTAATATGACATATCTAATAAAACTTTAAATAAACTTTTTTTTGCGCAAATATTTGTTGCAGCAATAACACTTTTATATAACGAAATTTCGCATCGTTTTCGCCTCATTCATTTTCGCGAAAAAATGCGAAATTTCGGGGATAAGTTTACAAAATGCATTTTTTCTCAAAACGTTTCGTTCGCTTCAAACCCTACTTTCAATATTACAATGAGCATGAGCCATAATTATTTCACCCAATATGTTATTTAATAAGTTACTAATGAAACCTTTTTGCTTTGTAACAGCATTAAATACACTTAATTATTGCTTTAACGTCAACTTGCTATTCCAGAGTTTTCTGGTTCTCACATCATATTGTAAATATTTCCAGATATCCGGAGTATACAGTTTGGTTCTCTCCTAAATATTGGGGTTCTGACATTTACGTCGTTCTACAGGACTTGGTTTCCGGGGGGGGGGGATAGTGGAGAAGGTAGGGGGATACTGGAGAGGGTATGGGGAAAGGACGCCATGGAAAGTCAAAATGGCAATATGGAGATGAAAATGACAAAACAGAGAAAGGAGATAAAAGAGGGATACGTAAGGAGGGGCATATTTTCAAGTAACCCTTTACATAAATTGTGGCATTCGATACAAAATTGTCGAGAAGGAAGGAAGAACTTAAATTATGTGAAGAGAATCGAAAAAAAGGAATAAAAATGAGAAAAAATCGTGAATGGAAGGATGGGAAGAGAGATTTAACTTGAGAGGTGTTGAAGATTAGAAAACAAGAAAAAACGCAGGGATGACACTTGGAGAGGAGAGGGGAAGGATATTGGGCGAGGGGGAAGGATGAGAGGGAAGAGGAGGGGCGGAGCGTTCCCTACTGTCCGCGTCGAACCATAGGTACTCCAGGTCCTAGAAACAGCTTCCGCTGAAGCTCCAGGCAGCTCCGTGGCTGACTGCCTGAATCAGCTGGTCGGGCAGGACTAGGACTAGGAGGGCAGTCAGCTGTTCTAGTGCTCTCCCCCCCCCCCGGACCGGACCGGGGAGAGCAGAAATTCCTTCCCAGGGCGAGACTCATTCAGTCGCATTTTGACAGTTAAAGAGATCACATCTATAGGTCAGGAATTGGAACAAGTTTTTTGTCAGAGAAGGTCCAACAGTTTTTGTCGCCGACTTGGATTCACAAATGAGCAAAAAATCCATGAACGGACAAGAAAGATGAATGAACAAGACCTTTAATCTTGAAGCATCTCGCAGGTTTGGAATATTTCTCTGCTCCGGGTTATCAACTAGAGGTTGAATTATCACTGAAATGGCGAATGGATTGATTTGCTCTGAGACTCTGGTCTCCACTCCTAAATACAGACACGACTCTAACAGTGAGAACTGTCCCCCTGAATATAAGGAGATAAAATCATACCAACTCCTGTGCCAGGAGGTACTTCAAGAATCGGAGCTGAAACCTCTACATGTCCCCTGTAAACAGATTTATGAAAATTTCCAGCATCCTCCGGTGAAAGCAGACTGTGATACTATTATACTAAAGGATGATAGAGTTCTACAAAATTTATTAAAAAACGAAGACAGGTAAGATTTTAACTTTTTATAATTTTGCGTCTTTGGTCCGAGAAATGTTTCCAATTTTATTTTCTAAGTTGTTATTTAACTTTAACCAAGTTTATATTTATTTGATAAAAATGCTAGGATCTTTTTAGGATTGTTTTAATTGACGATTTCAATAAGAAAAATTAAAAAAAGATTTTAAAAACTTGTCATTTGCATATTTTTCAAATATCCATTTCTAGTGTAACAATAGACAGGGTCTAAAAACATAATCTATCTCTCTATCCAAATGTCCCCTAAAATGCCCTAAAATGCAAATGTGCAAATATATAATGTATTCATGAGTTTTATTCAACATTTTTTACGCGCATTTTCCCCTCCAATAGTTCAGTTGGATGCATTGTCCCACTAAATGTCAATAGGTTGAAACTATTTAAATGAAACTGACAAAAAGTTTCTATGACTTACATTCATATGGAGACAGAAAAACGCCCATATTTCAAACTTAATACATGTTCGGGTGCGATGGAAGTTAGTAAGTGTCATGAATGATTTTTTTCAGGTATACGCCAACACCTAGCGAGTATTTCAGTAAGGTTCAGATAGAGATTAAACCTCACATGAGAAAGATAGTATCTGACTGGATGCTGGAGGTCTGCCAGGAGCTCTGCTGCCAGCCGGAGGTCTTCTGCTTGGCCATGAACCTCATGGACAGATTCCTCGCCGTTTGCAGGTTCGTCGCTTACTTTGCCATGCTCTAGTATCATTTATATCTTTGACATACTTTGTGTTATTTCATGTCTTTTCTGTCCTCTCATATCTGTTATATTTTTGTCCTGTTTCGACTATCCTAATCTCGTCCCATACGTGATCTTTCATATCTTTTCTGTCCTGTTAGTCTTTTTGTCTCAAATTTCTGATGTTACTTTTTTGTCCATTTATTTTTAAATCATTGAATAGTAATGGTATCATTATTTAAAATTTGCTAGCACTCGCCTAATTTGTTTTTAATTTAGAATTAATAAATCTCAGCTCCAACTTCTTGGAGCCGCCTGCCTTTTTCTGGGATCCAAATTCCGATCTTTGGAGCACATCTCCAGTGATAAACTTGTCATGTACACGGACTACAGCTGTACAATCCAGGAACTAAAGGTGTGTATAAGATTGTGTGTGTTCTTCTCTGTAAATTATTCCAGGATGAACGTTTTATAAACTCACGAAACCTCTCAAACTAAAACTAGAATACAAACATGCAATGAACAAAGAAAATATATTTTAAAATTCACAAAACTTCTCATCCTCAGTTTACTTTTATAATAAATAACTGCTTCTTAAATGCTTTTTAGAATATATTTTTGAACTAGCACACAAAATCCTTTTTTATCAAACATTCTAAAAAATGCATCCTGTAAGTTTGAAAAAAAAAAATTATAAATGTCTGTTGTTTTATACTTTTTTGAAACTTTTGAAAATTGTATTTATAAATGTTTTGAATTCCCGCTTTATTTTTCAAGATTTCGGTTGGCCTTGTACAGTTACACTGTACGTAGCCAAAAATTCGTTCAATATATTTTATAAATATAGAACAAATCTGCTTTATAACTGACAATTGAAGATAAATAGTTCATTAATATATAAAGTATTCTGCTCCTGGTGGGCCGGGGAGGGGGGGGGGACTAATGATTTCTCATTTTTCAACTCATCCCCTTCCCCTCTTTTTATCAGTTTTATTTCAAGCTTGAATCCACCCTTCCTCTCATTATCCTCCCTTTCCCCTACTGAACACTTTTTTCCATTCTCTTCTTTTTGTTTTCTGGATCTTTCAAAATGTATTTTTCTATGTATATATTTATATAGATACATCTATCTATTTATTCATTTAAAGGAATTGAGTCTTTGTCACAAACTCTTCTTTTCTTATCCCTATAACTTTGCAGCCCAATGTCGTAGACCTTAGATATTTCAAACTATGAATTCTGTTAGCTAAACTGATCTAAGTTTGAAATATCAAAGGTCTGCACCATGATGTTGCAAGATAACAGGATTAGAAAATTTGAGTTTGTGGCAAAGATGCAATTCCTTTATCTGTTTTTTAACATATATATATATTTTTTAAAATATCTATCTATATATAGATAGTAAGATCCTGAAATATATTTAAATGTTTTAATTTGAAGCTGATTAAAATATATATTTTTATATATCTATATCTTTATATATTTTTATATATCTATATGAGTTTTGTCTGTCTATCTATGTGTTTATCTCTCTATTTAACTATGTAACTATCATTCTGTTTATCTATCTATCTACAATTCCTACCCGGAGAGCAGCATCATATATTGTTCCTTCCCTTGGCTTTCTTGACGTATTTTAGTTCTCATGAACTAGAGAGAAGGTTTTGGACAAATCTCTCAGGTCATTCCTAAACATTCCTTCTTAAGCCTGCATGGGAGCAGTAGCTCATCAATTCATTCATCTAGTCCTTTCTCATCCTTCTCATTCTTCTCATCCTTCTTATTCTTCTCATTCTTCTCATCCTTCTCATCCTTCTCATTCTTCTCATCCTTCTCATTCTTCTCATCCTATCTCATCCTTCTCATCCTTCTCATCCTTCTCATCCTTCTCATCCTTCTCATCCTTCTCATCTTTCTCATTCTTCTCATTTTTCTCATCCTTCTCCTCTTTCTCATTTTTCTCATTCTTCTCTCCTTCTCTCCTTCTAATCTTTCTCATCTTTCTCATCCTTCTCATCCTTCTCATCCTTCTCATCCTTCTCATCCTTCTCATCATTCTCATCCTTCTCATCATTCTCATCCTTCTCATCCGTATCATTCTTCTTTTTTTTCGCATCATTCTAATCTTGCTCATCCTTCTCATCCGTACCATCCTTATCATCCGTATCATCCTTCTCATCCGTATCATCCTTCTCATCCATCTCATCTGTCTTATCCGTATCATCGGTATTATCCTTCTCTCTGTTCATCCTCCACCCTTTAAATGACGTCATACGTATACGGGTATACAACCAAAATGTCGTCTTACTTGTGAGTAGTTTTAAAGTTTGAGTGATCTGTTATCTAAGATGGACTTTTCGTTTCGTTTGCAAATATTCTAATCTTGGGGGGTCAAAGCTTACAGACAAAATAGATGGATTTTAAGATAGATTGATTGATGGATAGATCGATAGATTGATGGATAGATTGATGGATTGATGATTGTGAAATCCTCCAAGTAACAAATGAAAGGACATTGTTTCTGGTATTTGAAGCAAAAATGTAATGTTTCAATTCATCTTTCATCTATTCATCAATTCATCCTTCCATCCATTTATTCATTCATCTATTCATCCTTCTCATTAAGTAATTAAGTGTCCTTAACTTTTGAAAAATCAACTCAATTCTTTTCAATCTGTATATTAATTCCCTATTTCTTCCTTTTTAGCTTGTTGCCCAATGTTTGATGAGCAAAAACTTTAACAAATCAAATTGAAATTCTAACTTTTTGAGAGTTTAAAGTATCAAAAAAGTTGACAATCGCACAAAGGTGGAAACGCACGTTTAGTGTGCGCTTTTACTGTTCACTCAAGGATATGATTGCTCCCGGGGTTCTGAGACACTTTTTTAGCTCAGGTCTTGCATTGATCAGAGAGAAGTTTTAGTGACATCTGTCTCTAGTTCTCAGTTTACAGGGGCTCTCCCCCTTCATCTAAATGCATTTATAATTTGTACATTGTACCTACATATAGGTCAATACTCAATAAGTTTAGGTTTATTTATGTATTTAAACAACACAATGCTTTTCGAATTATTGAACCATATATTTTTAATGTATAAACATTACAAATAAATCAACTAATTAATCTGTACTTTAAGGACTGGGAGTTATTAATACTGACAAAGCTCCGATGGGAGTTGAGCTCCACCATACCCTTGGACTACCTGGATCATATCCTACCTAGGCTACACCTACCAAGCCATATAGATATTCACAGGCTTAGGATCAAAACGGAAACCATCTTAGCCCTGGCCGCAACACATATCAAGTTCAGCTGTCAGCTTCCCAGTGTTCTAGCCGCAGCGAGTATTCTTACAGCGTTGAACAGCTGTCAACAGGAGACCAAGAACTTGGAGTCAGACTTGAGATTAGGTCGGAGAACTGACTCCGACGAAGTCTCCGAGAAGCTACTCCGGTGTACCCGACTATGCCTGCAAGGACTGACCTATGCAGGTTCGGATATCCTGGATGAGGTGTGCAGGGACCTTTGTGAGAGTATACCTGGATACTTGACCGGACACGTCCCGTCCTCATCACAGTCGCCAGATACGTCCTCAATAACTTCAACACAACCTCTACACATGCTGAGTCCGGTACCCTACCCGGCCACCTCCTTCAATCCCACCACCTGTTCCTCCTCCTCCCCCTCCTCATCCTCCCCCTCCTCATCCACCCTGGACATATTCTCGGAGTTTCAATCAGTTTTCAACCAACAAGATCAATCATACTCAGGGGACGCTCATGTCTCAAACTCAATATTAGTCACGTGACTTGAAAATACCAAAAAATATAAAAAATCCTCCAATGATAAACAAGCAAAATATTTTTGCAAAAATGGTGTTATCGAAGATTAAACAGATTTAATCGGACTCAATACAAGTGCGCCTGTTGACCTATCTATCTAATCTATTTTGTTTTATATACATTTCTGTTTATTTTTTGTTAAATAATTCTTGTTGGGCATTTATATGAACACAAGGGCATTACAACTTTGCATTTATTCGTACTTTATCTTTATATTATGTACTTTCTGTGCATACTGTACTTTTAGGCATTCATGTACTTTGTTCTTTCTGTACTGATAAAAGAGCTTTCATTCTTACCACTTTTGATGCCATAGGTTAAAAATCATGACTTAAGAAACAAATACGCTTATTTATTATTTCTTAAACATATTTTTATAATTTCTTAATAATATCAATAAACATACATTCAGAACTTATAATTGCGATTGTGTTGCCACTTTTTAGAGAGATATGTAGAACTTAAAAGAAATATTTCACGTAAGAAAATATTTTTCGAAAGTAATTGAGTCTTTGCCACAAACTCAAATTTTCTCATCCCTGCATCATTGCAACCTGGAGCAGAATTAATGAATATGAGCGACGTCGCTGAACTTTCAATTGCCGGCTGAAGTTTGAACCACCAATTCAAATTCATAGAATTAGGGGAAGTATTTGAATCGGTGATTCAAATTTGAACCGGCAGTAGGCACTTCAGCGACCCCTTAAATTCATTAAATTTTGTTCCTGCTGAATAATTCTTAGTATATCAATATAATAAAACTGGCTGAAGGGCCCGGCGTTGCCAGTGGAAAACAAAATTTGAAAAAAAAATTCAGAAAAAAAATGTTTTCAAAAATTAGAATTTTTTTACCCTTCAACATCCCCTGGCCACCCATGAGTTTGGCCGGCTATAGGCAATATATATATATATATACGAATGTCTTGTTTTATTATATAGGCAAGAAAGTCTTATATATATGTTCCCGATAGCCGGCCAAACGGCGGGACCAAATGGGCTAACATTTGTTAAGGGAACCCATGGGTGCCCCGGGGGTAACATAGGCTAAGAAACAGATTTTTTTTAATTCAATTTTTTTCAAAAATTCGATTCCACGGTTAACGCCAGGACCTTCAGCTATTTATTATTATATGAGAAGCATTAAATTTCTACAGGGTGTCCTTTTAATCTTTCCAATTTTCAAATTGCTGTAATTTTTTTTGTTAGGAATTTTTCCAATTTGTAAAAAAAAATATGAACGTTTTGTTGTATACAATGAAAACTCACAATTCTACCAATTCAATTATTTCATTTTAGCCATATTTCACTATGATGTTGTGTAAAGAAGCCAAGATTTGGATTGTTCAGAACGATTCTTCTGACAGAGAATTAACTCAGCTTCGCAGGGATTACATTGTTAACTTTACCATAACTAATCAGAAGACTGCTCCTCATGTGAAAATTTATTTATATATATAAATTTTGAATATCTGTTAAAGAAAAAGAAGTAAACCAATTGATGTAACAAAACGTTCATATTTGCAGAGACCCACTGAATAAATGTAAACAGATCAATATTTCTGTTTATTATTAAAGGGACTGTAAAGGAAAACTGAAAGGGGGTATAGGCTGAAACCTGAGAATCTCAGGAGTTGATTGACATCTATTTGATGTTCCTGTCCCGCGAAATTGATATAAAACTGTGTCAAAAATATTAAACAGATTATCTTCAACAAGTACGTAACCAATCTAAAACAACGATATCCCAGAGGAGCCTGAGAAACTCAGGTTTGCTCCTATTATTATTTGAATTTAATGATTTTTCATTTTTAATAGATATAATTGATAATATTATTTTATGCGTCCGGACAATGTCACCAGAACTCCAACCAATGGCAGTGCAGTATTATTGTCAATTGGCTTTGTCTATATCCTCAGTATACTGCACTGCCATTGAAGGAGGTTCTGGTCATGTGATACGGACGTATTACTTACATAAATACGTTTTGGTATAATTTTGACACAGTTTTATGTCAATTTCTCGAGACAGGTACAACAGATATATGTCTTATAGGTATCGTTCAACTCTTGAGATTCTCAGGTTTCAGCCTATACCCCCTTTTATTTTTCCTTTACAGTCCCCTTAAATCAGTTCATTGAGTGATTAAGAATTTTAAAAGAGGTATAAAGTATGAGTTGAATCATAGTAGTTTCTTTTCTCAATTAAAACAAATTAACCAAAGCAAAGTCAAAACAAAGAATATTTTATCAGTAACATTTAGATGCATTTTATTATTGTTTATGGCTTGACCATTCATGATTCTCTGCTAGCTCACTTTATTTAACAAACTCCACGCTCTAAACTGTAGGCATGCTTTGAGTTTTAAAGATAATAATTCTTATCCATAGCGCCTCCCCCTGTCATTTTAAAATGCGTAAACCACTGAAAAAAAGTTAATAATCTGACCACTGAAACTGGACCGCATAGCAGGAGTGGGGTTTATGATGAAATTATGGTGATTTTTGGCCACTTTTGGTGCGCAGTATAAACTGTTAATATTGCTACTAAAACTTAATCAAAATCTCAAGGTTAGACCAAACTAATTGAAACTGCAAACACCCACCTTTAAAAGCTCCAACGGAGTGCGAAGGTCGAGACTTAATGATCATGGAACGACCTGTTTTTTATCCAAAATTTAAATATCTATAAACTCGCGATGGGTATTTGGTATTCACGACTTTGTCATAAAAAGACTAGATATTGCGTATTTTGCGCTTCTTATATAAAAGTTGTATAAATATATACAAGTTGGATAAATTGTATTCACAATTCATTTACAATTTAAGGGAATATAGTTATATTATCCCTTAATTGAACAGAGTGGCATAATCGATTAACAACGGTTCCCTTTAAATCTTTTCTTGAGAAACAATTAGAATGATATCTTTGTTTAACCATCACAAAATTGTCGACAACACTATAAAGAAAGAAGGAAAAAATTTAATTGATTAAAAAAGAAGGGAAGGATTACTGAGCTTCAAAGGGAAGAGAAGGAGTACTCCTTGTCTCCTTGTGTGTAAAGGGGGAGGGAAGGATTACTCATTTTCTCTAGGTTTCAAAGGTAAGAGAAAACTGTTAACCCTATTCCTGCTGGGGGGGGGGGGTTTCAAGTAAACTTAAATAAAGGTTTATGCTTACTTTTCCGGGCAGAACCACAGATGAAGAGATGAACTGGCAATAAAGATGCAATCAAAGAACAGGCTCCAAACCAGAATGTCCCGTCTTTCAGTTTCAATTCAGCTCAATTCAATTCAATCCAATCAATCCAATTTTCGCTCTAAGCTCCGGATTCACAACACAACTGGCGTGTTTGTTTACATTTCCATTCATCAAAAATTAATATTTGTAAACAAACATAAATAAGGAATACGTAAAAAATATTCTGTTGACAATTATTAACCAGACAAAATTTTCATACAACAGATGGGAAGGAGTGTATCCCAGAGTCTAAAGGGGATGGGAAGGAGCGTATCCCATGGTTTAAAGGGATGGGAAGGAGTGTAACCCAGGGTTTAAAGGGATAGGAAGGAGTGTATCCCAGGGTTTAAAGGGATGGGAAGGAGTGTATCCCAGGGTTTAAAGGGGATGGGATGGGAAGAAGTGTATCCCAGGGTTTAAAGGGATGTGAAGGAGTGTATCCCAGGGTTTAAAGGGGATAGGAAGGGTTGGGAAAGAATGTTCAGGATTAAGCAAGAACACGGGATATATTTGTTAAAGCTTGTGTAATGCAAGACGAGGGGGAGAGGGGTCTGGTTGCTCAAATGACGAGGGGGGGGAAGCCCGGTAAAATAAAAAAGTTGCAATGACGAACTTTATCCAAAAACATTTGTTAACTAAACTTTTTCCAACCTATGGCCCCAACCTCTCTGGCTACGGCCCTGATCTAAAACTGCGTGTGACATATAAGGTCAAGTGTAGACCCTTGAAATTTCCAAAAACTGTTCCCAAAAGGAATCAAGCCATAAAATGTCGCAGAGTTTATGCGCTGTAAATCCAGAGCTGAGATTATCGTAAAACTTTGCTTTGTAAAGTTTCTGGACGAATCACAAATTAATTTTATAATGAATTACTGCAAAGCAAGAATAAGTGAATGCAAGGATGAATGCATGAATCCAGGGCAGTGAATGCATGCATGAATGCATGAATCCAGGGCAGTGAATGCATGAATGAAAGCATGAATCCAGGGCAGTGAATGCATGAATCCAGGGCAGAGAATGCAAGGATGAATGCATGAATCCAGGGCAGGGAATGCATGAATCCAGGGCAGAGAATGCAAGAATGAATGCATGAATCCAGGCAAGTGAATGCATGAATCCAGTGCAGTGAATGCATGAATGAATGCATGAATCCAGGGCAGTGAATACATGAATGAATGCATGAATCCATGGCAGTAAATGCATGAATGAAACGAGCTATATTAATTAAAAATCAAAAGGACTCCAGAGACTATCCATATTTAGAATTGCATGTCAGATTCACAGCTATATCCTTCAAACCTTTGTCTGATCAAGGATGACAGAGATATCCTTGTTTTTTTGCCGCCCAGTGTACTAGTGCTAATGTTCTGTATTTGCATGTATTGGTACTGGCTATAGTGCAGTGTACTAGGGCTATTGTTCTGTATTTGCATGTATAGTGTGGGTGTGCTGTAATTGCTTCCACATTCTCCTTGATTAAAGGTAAATAAAAATTTAATTTAGTCAAGTTTTATAAACTTTATTCAAGGCTGGTATGACTAGAAATATGTTCAAGTAAAAAGTAAAATGTAAAAATTAAGATGGAGAGTTAAAAAAATATAATGAGTAAGGTTCTCTATGGAAAAGTTGTTTTACAAAAAATGGTCTGAAATTATGAATATGATGGTGTAGTGTAGGATGGATGGATTTTAGGTCCAAAGGAAGGATGAATGAATGAATGAATGAATAGAATGGTACCAGACCAAGGTTCATGCTTTAAAACTATTCATTAAGCAAAAATGAATTATCACAAGATATGAACTATTAAAATTCTTGGGACATTAGAACCACCCCCCGCCGGCCTGGAAATGT